TGTGCTCTGGACAGCTCAGTGACAACAGCTCCATCAGAGAAAAACATGTAGTTGTTGGAAGAGATAAAGACCGAGTTTCAGGATGTGTTTACAGGAGATGGATGTTTGCAAGGTGAATATGAGCTGGAAATCGACACAACAGTGCAGCCCGTCAAACTGCCAAAACGCAGAGTCCCAGTGTCGATGATGAAACCACTGAAAGAGGAACTGATGAGCCTTGCAGACAGACAAATAATAGCACTAGTGGAATGTAGTACTGATTGAATCAGTGGGATGGTGACAGTGCAATGGCAAATGGCAAACCCAGGATATGTATTGACCCGAGACCGCTCAACAAAGCTTTGAAGCATAGTCACTTCCCATTACCAACAACAGATGACATCTTGCCAGATGTGTCAAAAGCGAAAGTTTTCACAATTTGTGATGTGAAACATGGCTTTTGGCATGTGAAGCTTACAGAAGAGTCAAGCCATCTCACGACATTCGCAACACCATTTGGTCGCTTTCGTTGGCTGAGAATGCCGATGGGGATCAGCCCAGCGCCAGAGGTCTTTCAGCGCAAACTGATGCAAGCGTTAGAGAACCTGCCAGGCACATACATCATTGCTGATGACATCCTGATCACTGGAAAATGAGAGACAACTGAGTTGGCAGAAATGGATCATGACAGAAACCTGAGACTTTTCCTGGAACGCTGCAGAGAGAGAGGAACATCAAATTAAATGTGGAAAAACTCAAGCTTAGAAGACAGGAAGTACCATACATCGGACATCTACTCACGGCAGAGGGGCTGAGAGCTGACCCAGAGAAGGTACGGGCCATCACAGAGATGCCAGCACCAACTGAGATAAAAGGGGTGCAGAGACTAGTTGGAATGGTCAACTATTTATCCAAGTTTTACAAGCATCTGTCAGACGACTGTGAGCCTCTCAGACAACTGACGCACAGAGACAGCCTATGGACAGACTTGCAGGAAGATGCATTTAAAAGACTGAAAGAAAAACTAACACAAGTCCCAGTTTTGAAATATTACAGCCATGAAGAAGAGCTGACACTGCAGTGTGATGCCAGCGAAACAGGACTGGGAGCAGCTCTGACTCAACATGGAAAACCAGTGGCATTTGCAAGTCGTGCACTGACGCTCACTGAAAGAGGTTATGCACAAATTGAAAAGGAATGTTTAACTATTGTGTTTGGGATGGAGAAATTCCACCAATATACATATGGTTGTCTTGTGAGATTGCAATCAGACCACAAGCCACTCGAGAACATTATTAAAAAGCCACTGTTACATGCACCTAAGAGACTGCAAAGGATGCTATTAAGGCTGCAAAAATATGATATAACCATAACATATGTTCCAGGCTGCGACATGCTACTCGCTGATACGCTGAGTAGGGCCTACCTGCAGGACAGCATCAAAAGCCAGATGGAGTTGGAGACAGAATGTGTCAACATGGTGGACTATGTACCTGTTTCAACAGAAAGCATGGACAGAATACGAGCAGGGACAAGAACCGACCACACACTACAAACGCTGATAAAAACAATACAAAAGGGGTGGCCGGTCTGTAAGAAAGATGTACCTGTTGAAATAACTCAGTTCCAATCTTTGCAGGATGAACTGAGCACACAGGATGGACTGGTCTTCAAGGGAGAGAGAGTGATGATTCCAGAAGCACTGCAGGCAGATATAACCCAGCGAATTCACTCAACACACATCAGCACAGAAGGGTGCCTCAGGAGAGCTAGAGACTGTGTCTACTGGCATGGTATGAACGACCACATCAAAAAGTACATCGCTACATGTGACATATGTCGGTCTGTGGATGCAAAACAACAGAAAGAGACACTAAAACCACACGAGCTGACCACTAGACCATGGACCAAGGTTGGGACAGATTTATTCAACTTTGAGGGTAGGGACTACCTAATAACTGTTGATTATTACTCCAACTTTTGGGAGATAGATTATCTACCTGATACCAAGTCGAATACTGTGATTAGGAAACTAAAGGCTCATTTCGCACGTCAGGGAATCCCAAATGTAGCGAACCCCCCCGAATGAAGGATGACACTTTACTGATGACGTTTTGAAGGTTTAATGGCAGTAAACCATCAATCTCACCGTAAGAGCTGGAGATGTATACACAGAAACAGCGTGTAAGCAAAATAATCCACACTCTTACAATCGTAAACCTTATAACATGAAGTTCGTTTCAACGTAACATTTAACAAATGTAGCGACTGTCACAAAAACATCTAAACGTCTCCTTATTTACATCATAACCATACCTTGTGCCTCTATCAAGGGGGCTGCTAATGACAAAAGAAATCACCATAGGCTCCGTTAAGCCATCACTTTTCTAAACTCCCACGACTGCTGCTGAAAACTGCGCCAAAACCTGTTTTACAGGAAATCGTCCCATCAAAATAAAAGCTTCTACACACGGACAGGAAGTTGGTAGTAGAAAACAGGAATGAGTGCCAAAATAAGGTGCAAAGAAAGGCATTCAGGGTTATTTACACTCCCACCAAAATTACGAATAATTGGTTTACATAAGAACCAAAATGAATCATTTTCCCAAACAAAATAACCCATGTAGGAGTTACCTTAGGAACTTTCTAACAACAATACAAGTTTTTGTACTGGACGCTCAACAACTGATAGTTTAGTAGAGCGTTGACCTTTATTATTGAGTCTCTTTTCTCCAAGTGAGATCTTTACCCTTCGCACAAGTCCATCTTTTCCACTGACAGTTTCTACAACTCTTGCAAGTCTCCATTCCCCTCTGGGTGCCAGTTCATCCATTTCCAACACAACATCACCTACTTTTAGATTCCTCTTTGGTGAGTGCCACTTTTGCCTTGAAATGATGTTGTGAATGTATTCTCGTCTCCAGCGGCTCCAGAACTGCTCTGCAAGGAACTGCACGCGGCGCCACCTCTTCTTGCTGTACAGGTCCTCATTTGAAAAGGCACCAGGTGGGGGCAACGGTGCATTGGATTTCATGTGCAGCAGATGATTGGGCGTGAGCGGTTCCAGGCTGTTGGGGCTATTCAAGTTATCTATAGTCAAGGGTCTGCTATTGACTATAGCCATGGCTTCGTAGAATAACGTCCGTAATGAAGCATCATTGAGTCTGTCGTGAGCCAGTGACAGAGTGGTATTCAGCACACTTCTGACAGTCTTTATCTGACGTTCCCACACTCCCCCTGCATGACTAGCATGGGGTGCGTTCATCACAAAGTCACATTGTTTTTCAGTCAAGTATGTAGTTAGTCTCTGAGTGTCTAGCTCATTTAAAGCTGCTTTAAACTCATTCTGAGCACCAACAAAGTTCGTTCCCTGGTCACATTGGATGTGTCGAACTGCACCTCTGATTGAAATGAAACATCTTAATGCATTAATAAATGCATCAGTAGACAAGTCCTCTAAGAACTCGATGTGAATGGCACGAGAACAAAAGCAAGTAAATAAGAGTCCATACCGTTTGTGTTGTTTTCTTCCCTCTGTTGTCACAAATGGACCAAAACAGTCCATGCCACAGTGTGTGAAGGGAGGAGAGGGCTCTAAGCGATGTGGAGGTAGGTCACTCATCCTCTGACCCTCTGGAGCTTTGCGGAGTCTGCGGCAGATCACACATTGTCGGATGAATGAGGCAACTGTTTTACTCATTCCAGGAATCCAGTAGCCACTGGATCTGATTTCATTTATGGTGAATCCCTTTCCTTGGTGTTTTACTTTGTCATGACAGTGAGATATTATGAGTTTGGCTGTACAATGTTCTTTTGGGATCACGATCGGGTGTTTGAAGGTGTCACTCGTTGCATGCTGGAGTCTCCCTCCCACCTTGAGGAGACCATCTGTATCCATGAAAATGTCCAGTTTAAACAGTTTGTTATGATGTGGGAGCTGTTCTCCTTTCTTCAGCTGTTTTATTTCCTGTTCATACGCTTGACCTTGTACACGTCGAATGATCACAAGTTCAGCATTTTTCTGCTCACTCACTGTAGCTGATGCATTTGACTTGATGTGTCTAGCCCTTCTTATGAGACGTGCTACAGCTTTAATTGCTTTGGACCAGGAGGAGAACTTACTTAGACATTCGGCAAGACTTACAGTGTCTGTGACTTTGGTTAACATTGTCTGTACTTTTCTGACTTCTGGATCTCCTATGGTCAGATCCAGCTCGACAGGTTGTGCTGTGGGCAGTTCATTTTTCCACAAAAAGGAGGGGCCAGTGAACCAGATAGACTTATTTAACTCATTGACAGTTACACCTCTCGAAGCACCGTCAGCTGGATTCAGTTCTGATGGCATGTAAAACCACTGCTGAGGGCTTGTACTTTCCCTGATCCTCTGAACCCTGTTAGCTACAAAGGTGTGGAAACGACGTGCATCATTGTTTATGTAGCCCAGCACCACCTTTGAATCAGTCCAGAAGTACTCCTTTGCACCATAACACAGTTCTTCCCGTAACATGTTGCTGACTGAGACTGAAACTACAGCTGCTGTTAGTTCAAGTCTGGGGATTGTGGTCAGTTTAGTTGGAGAAACTCGAGCCTTTGCTATTACCAGAGAGCAGTGAACTTCACCTTTAGCGTTCTTTGCCCTCAGATAGCTACATTGTCCATAACCACTTGAGCTTGCATCTGAAAAGTGGTGCAACTCTATTTCTTTAGTTTCACCAAAGTTAGCAGGCAGGTAACAGCGAAGTATGTTTAGCTTGTCTAGATTTACAAAGTCACTTTGCCAACTCACCCACCTTGGCTTGAGTGCATTAGGTATGGGGTCGTCCCACCCGACACCATGCTGACACATTTCTTGCAAGATTTTCTTTCCATTCAGCACATATGGCGCTAAAAATCCAAGTGGGTCGTAGATTGACGCAACAGTGGATAGAATACCTCTGCGTGTGGCTGGCTGGACTTTCATTGTGTTGTCAAATTTGAAACAGTCCTTTTCAATGCTCCACTGGATGCCTAGTGCTCTTTCTTGTGGCATGTCTTTGAATGTCAAGTCTCTTATGTTAATATTTACAGCACACTCTGATGCAGGTATACTTTGCAAAACAGTGTGATTGTTAGAAACAAACTTGTGGAGACGCAGGTTACCTTTGCGGCAGATTTCTCTGGCTTCTTGTGCCAACTGCATTGCTTCTTTCACTGTGTTTGTGCTCGTAACTCCATCGTCGACATAAAAGTCTTTCTCAATGAACTGTGAACCTGCTGGGTGCGAGTGGCAGTGCTCTTTGGCTAAGTACTTCAGTCCATAATTTGCACAGCCTGGAGATGATGACGCACCAAAAAGGTGTACCTTCATTCTGTATGTTTGAGGTTGTGTGCTTGTATCACCGTTTTTCCACCAGAGGAAACGTAGATAGTCCCGGTCCCTCTCACTGACGTGGAACTGGTGGAACATCTTTTCTATATCGCACATTAAGGCAATAGGATGTTGCCGGAATCTCAAGAGAATACCAGTCAGATTGTTTATTAAGTCTGGCCCTTGGAGGAGATGATCATTGAGACTTGTTCCATTGTGTTTGGCTGAACAGTCAAATACGACACGCAGTTTTGTGGGCTTTTTGGGGTGGTAAATCCCATGATGGGGGATGTACCATTGTTCACCTTGTGTTCCTTCGTTGTGTACTTCTTCCACGTCTCCTCTTTCAATTATGTCATTCATGTATGCAACATAATCATTTTTGTAGTTCTCATCCTTGTTCAACCTTCTCCTTAAGTGTTCCAGTCTGATCTCTGCAAGCCTTTTGTTGTCTGGTAAGTTTGGCCTTTGCTTGAATGGAAGAGGCATCTCACAGTATCCTTGTTCATTTTTCTTTATCCCTTCCTTAAGTTTTCCAGAAAAACGAGATCCTCTTGTGAGACCGTTTTGTCACATGCCTTTGTGTCCTTGAAATCTGATTCAAGAACATTGATCATGTCCATTGGTGTTACAGCAGGCATTTCCTTTACCATGACCCTATGGCACAGACTTGTTTCAGTTTCATTTGACTCTGATGAGCCACCAACAATGCTCCACCCTAGGTCTGTCTGTATGGCAAATGGCTCATTGTCTTTTCCGAGTAGAACCTGTTTTGGAGCTAGAGTTCTGGGACAGTTAAATCCAATGAGTAGTCCAACATCACAACTCAGGAGAGGGGGTATCTGATCAGCGATCTCTGACAGATGGGGCCATTGCCTTGCAGTTTCATTTGTGGGTATGTTGTCATAGTTAAATGGGATGTAGTCCTTTGTGTAGGAGGGTGGAAGGTCGATGTGAACATCTGAATTATAACCTCTCACACGTAACCCTGCTACTCTCTGGCTTTTGACTGTCATGTGAACTCCCAGCATCGTGGTTAGTTTTAGCTTAACTGGATGGGATGCTGCTTGTAACTGGTTAGTTACCTCCTCACTGACAAATGTGTTGTCACTTTGTGTGTCTAATAAAGCGTACACAAGCTGCTCTTTAGATGGACTCTGAGTAGTGGAAACCCACACAGGAACAATCATGGAGGTACTACCTGATTGACCCACCTTAGTAACATTCAGAGCTGTGGCTGCCATGGTGTCATTTTCTGTGGTTGAAGCGACGTTTGTAGAGCTCTGAGGCCTTTCATTTGCCATGTGACTCTCATTGTGCAAACAGGTGGGGTGTCGTCCTTTGCAAGTGTCACATTTGTGGCGATGACGACAGTCTCTGGCATTGTGGCCCACCTTTAAGCACCCGTAGCACAGTTTATTTTCCTTCACAAATGTCCGTTTGTGGTCTAGTGACTTCTCTGAGAAGCTTGGGCACTTTGACAACTGATGACTTTCATCTTTGCAGAACATGCAGGCCACCTTTAACCTTGTGTCATTTGACTTAGTTTTTTCTCCTTGTACTGTGGCTTGTGTAGTGAAGACTTGAGTCACAGATCTGTTTGGTTTGGTCTCCCTTACGTATCTTTTCTCCAAGGATGAGCTGCTTGAGTAGAGTGCATATGAAGAAGTCACAGGATTACATGCAATTTCTGCCTCGAGTGCTACAAACTCTGCGAAATCCTTGAAAGAGGGAAAATCTTTGCCTTTCATGAGAGTAACTGTGACTTGACGGTTCCAACGCGTTGCAAGCCATTCTGGAATCTTTTGCAATAACTTTTGGTTTTCCTCACAGTCACTTAGTATCTCTAAGCCCTTTACATGTGGTGTTGCTTGCAGACAAGTTGTGAGAAAATCAGAAAAGACCCGTAGACCTTCTGCATCTTTTGAGTGGATTTTAGGCCACTTTGACAGTTTGTCTCTGAATGCCTTTTGAACAACAAATGGCTGACCGTAGCGTTGGTCAAGTCTTTTCCATGCATCTTTGTATGCCTCTTCATCACTGCGGTAGAACGTGCCCTCAAGACACTTAAGAGCAGGACCAGTGATATACCTTTTTAACAAATGCAGTTTTTCAGCTGGAGATATACCTTTGTGGCCCACCAGTGAGATGAAGGAAGCCTTCCATTCGATGTAGGTGATGGGATCTCCGCTGAACACAATGGGCACAGGCACTGGAATTCTGCTTACTGCTATGCTGTCTTGAATAGCTTTAGCCAGCTGCAATACGTCTGTGGGAGGCGATGGAGTGACAATTTGTGAGTGCAGTTGTTGTAGAGGATTATTGACAGGGATGGATGCATATTGTTCCACATGTGGGTGATATGAACCTGTAGAGAGCTCTGAGGCTGGTTGTGCAAAGCTTTGGTTGATAACAGACATCCCATTGCTCTGTAACATTAGCTGACTGTCCATATCAACTCTTAACTCCTTGTCATAAATCTCTAATTTTGCACGTGCTGCTTGCCTTTCCTTTTCTGCTTGTAAACGTTCTAGTTCAGACCTTTGTGCATCCAATTCCCTCCTGTGTTTCTCTTCCATTTCTCTTATTTTTTGTTTTTGTTTTATTTCCTCTTGTGTGATTTTATACTGAGCTTCTTTTGCAGCTAATTCTGCAACAGCATCGATTCTTTTGGCTGCAATGCTTGCTTCAGATTGGTAACTTGACTGTGATGCAGTACCAAATATGGACTTAGCATGTTCATAAGCTAAGAGCTGATGGAGGCGCTGCCTTTCTCTATCTGCATCATACTCATCTATAGCTGCTAAACGCTCAGATATGATTTTCATAATGTCCTTTGTCACTGATTCACAAGAGTCCATTTTGCGCCTTATGACATGGGATGGTTCATTACGTTCTCTATATTCACTGTATGCTTTTGTCATATCATTTACTGTCCTTTCAATATCATCAGCCATTTCTGCTAACCGTGAATCTGATAAATCACTTTTCAGGTCTTCTCTGTATACTCTGACCTGGCCTTTCCAATGTTCATAAATGGTTAGCAGTTTCTTCTCTCTTTTATTCTGTTCATCTCTTTGATATAAGAGCATTTTCTCCGTGGGCACACTGGGCCGTTCTGATCGCCTTGGGAACGTTTCATTAGCTGTTTCATCAGCTTCGCATGTCAATTCCTTTCGTTGTTCCTTTTCGTTTAACTGACCTCCTTCTATATTTTCCATTTTGAGAGCAATTGCTTGTTACCGGACCGCTGCTGTAGCTTGCTGCTCCGTGCCGTGCCGTGCCGTTCCGATCGCAGGAAGCTCTCTCTCTCTCTCGCTGCTCCCGGAGGTAAGCTCTCTCGCTGCTCTCGGAGGTAAGCTCTTACTGCTCCCGGAGGTAAGCTCTTACTGTAGCGAACCCCCCCGAATGAAGGATGACACTTTACTGATGACGTTTTGAAGGTTTAATGGCAGTAAACCATCAATCTCACCGTAAGAGCTGGAGATGTATACACAGAAACAGCGTGTAAGCAAAATAATCCACACTCTTACAATCGTAAACCTTATAACATGAAGTTCGTTTCAACGTAACATTTAACAAATGTAGCGACTGTCACAAAAACATCTAAACGTCTCCTTATTTACATCATAACCATACCTTGTGCCTCTATCAAGGGGGCTGCTAATGACAAAAGAAATCACCATAGGCTCCGTTAAGCCATCACTTTTCTAAACTCCCGCGACTGCTGCTAAAAACTGCGCCAAAACCTGTTTTACAGGAAATCGTCCCATCAAAATAAAAGCTTCTACACACGGACAGGAAGTTGGTAGTAGAAAACAGGAATGAGTGCCAAAATAAGGTGCAAAGAAAGGCATTCAGGGTTATTTACACCAAATATTGTTTTTTCTGACAATGGGCCCCAGTACAGCTCGACAGAGTTTGCCAACTTCAGCCGGAAATGGGAATTTCGACACCATACCTCATCACCTGGCTATCCGCAGAGCAACGGCAAAGCTGAGTATCAAGGTGACCCTGAATCCTCCCTTAGTTGTGCTGCAATAGACTTAGGCTGCCGGGGGATTCCCATGATGCACTTGATTTTCACCTTTCTCACTCACTATGTGTTAATAGACCTCTCTGCATTAAATCATACCTGTTACTAATCTCTGTTTCTCTTCCACACCATGTCTTTATCCTGTCTTCCTTCTCTCACCACAACTGGTTGCAGCAGATGGCCCCGCCCCTCCCTGAGCCTGGTTCTGCTGGAGGTTTCTTCCTGTTAAAAGGGAGTTTTTCCTTCCCACTGTCACCAAAGTGCTTGCTCATAGGGGGTCATATGATTGTTGGGTTTTTCTCTGTATCTATTATTGTATGATCTACTGTGCAATATAAAGTGCCTTGAGACGACTGTTGTTGTGACTTGGCGCTATATAAATAAAATTGAATTGAAATCATTGATCCTACGCACATCAGTCGATTTAACGTTTTTCTTTTTTAACATTTGTTGTTCTTCTCCCCCCAGTTGCTCTTCCACCTTTCTCAACTGGTTCACACTAAGCAGCAAAACCATTCTTTTTTTTTTTGCCATTTCTCAACATATCTGATACTATCAAGTCCAAACGTTTTTACCATGGAATCAAAAATGGAGTTTTCACCCAGACCACCTAGAGGAATGCCTCCCACAGCCCCACTGGCCATTTTACTGGGCCACTTTCCCATAATGTAACGGAGCGTCCTCCGCTCAGCCTTTCTGCCTTTTTTCACTGGTGCAAAAGTGCTAAAAAAACATACACTAGAACGCCCAACTTGTTGAGCTCCTAAGATCCTGCACTTACTACCGCAACAGGGCGCAATTTCTCACACTAGAATACTCAAATTCATTGAGTTTCTAGGACCCTGCACCCACTTGTTGCAATAATAAGGAGCCGAGGCTCTTCCCGTTGGTCTTGAATCTTGAATGAAAATGCACCCAACAGGCGAGCGTGCCTTTTGAAGTGAGGTAAATGGCCTATATTTGTATAGCACTTTACTTAGTCCCTAGGGACCCCAAAGCGCTTTACACTACATTCAGTCATCCACCCATTCACACACAGGTGATGGCAAGCTACATTGTAGCCACAGCCACCCTGGGGCACACTGACAGAGGCGAGGCTGCCAGACACTGCCGCCACCGGGCCCTCTGATCACCAGCAGTAGGCAACAGGTGAAGTGTCTTGCCCAAGGACACAATGACCGAGACTGTCGGAGCCGGGGCTTGAACCGGCAACCTTCCGATTACAAGACGAACTGCCAACTCTTGAGCCATGATATTAAAAAAGAAAAGAAAAACTGCAGGGGTTAGGAGTGACACTCCTAACCCGTTTTTCTGAGGGAAAGACATCACCCTGAACCCTTTTATACCTCCCAAACAAAGAACATTCCACAGCAGATCAATTATTAGCAGATCCTTATCTCTTCAGTCTAGGAACAGTTCCGACCAACCGTCATCTCCTCTGCAATAAGATGTCCAGAGCCCTCAATAGGAAAATGAGTCTGCTTGCGAAGGTGCAATAAAACTTGGGCCCCACTTGTGATCACATTCCACAGGAGTACAACTGATGTCAAGAGTGAGCTTTCTATACTGAGTACAGAAAGTGTTACTACTATTACTAAAATGATGTGATTAATACACAAACGAAAGAAATTTCCAGTACATCCCAAACTTTTGAGCGGTCGTGCGTATGTGCAAAAAAAAAAAATCTGTGTAAAATTTACACAAGGGGAAATGTCTGAGACATTTGCTAAACATATGACTTTGTAATGTTAATACTGAAAAAACAATTCACATTCTCTTAAACTCAAATTAAATTTCCTTCATAAAACAAAATGTAAGTATAGAAACATACATATAATCTTCTGGTTGCTAAAGTCAGCATGGACATTAAGCTAATAAACGACAGCAGACGTTTTATCATCTAACAAATATGTTAAGTGATTATGTTACAAATAATGCAGAATCTGGACATGGAAGTACTCTATGGTTTTTATATTTTCTTCTCTACTTTAGACAAAAGTAGTCTATGGTTTAGGTAATTTGATGAAAATGGTATTTTATTGTGCATTTAGTTTGAGTTACAACAGCATTCAGATATCAGTCCAGCTTTTCCATGTTGGCATTGGTTGTGCCAACCTAGAATACCATTAGCATTTTCAGTGTTACCTCTTCATTAAAGGAAAAAAAATGTAAAGACAGAACACCACCGGTATGTGTGTTGAAGAAGTCTGATTTAATAGTGTATTGAAAAATAAGTTAACTTAAATAACTTTAAATACAACATAATGGGGAAAAACAACAGATTATAAACATTCTTTGCCAGCAAGGGGTGAAATTGCAGTGCTCATGTAAGATAAATTTACACACACACACACACACACACACATATATATACATATACACACACACACATATATATACATATATATACGTAGCATTCCTTTACATCTAGTGATTTGAAATGAGGTTTACCACCCAAACGTTCTGCCAGCTAAAAAAGTCTAGAAAATTTATGTTTATAAAGGTTTATATTTCATACACATAGCCTGTGTGTGTGTGTGGCAGTAAAAAGAAGTACACTGTAAAAAAACAAAGAGCACACAGTGGTGACGTTGTGGATGGAATGGTTACAAAAGAAAACTGATCAGTAAAGCAAAGTTTTATGACCTCTGACCCTGAGATCAATGCCAACACTTGGAATGAACCTGCCATTCAATTTACAGATTTTGGCTTTGAAAATAGAAACACTGGACCCACCAATCTGGACCCACAAAGTGTTGTGTTACATATATGCGATGCAACAGATCGAATGGCAAACAATTCAATTTTTTGGTGTTTTACTATGTGGTCTTGGGTGGTTTAGAAACAAGAGGAGCTGACTCAGTCCATCAGATCTGCCAAGATAAAGAGGACAACGAGGAATGATGAAGGGAAGAGAGCTTAAGTTTAATAATAAACCCCCCCAAAGCTAAATAATAAAAATACTCTACATTGCTAACCTGAGCTACACTGGAGAATAAAAATGAAAGTTTTACTCAAATACTGGCAGTCAGGTTAAGAGGACCAAGTAGCAGAAAATGTATAGAAGCTGGAGATCCAGACATAGATAAACTTAATAGCTGAACATTTAGTAAGACATCTTTCTTGGTAGGTCAAGTAGAGAGCTGGAAATGTCTCAGATCTGTTGAACAAATATTTTGGTCACTCTATGCTAGTCTGCACTGCAAACATACATGAGTCTGATACCTCATATCTTGCTGTTGGAAAGCAAGCAGGACTCTGACAAAGCCGAGTATTAAAAATAAAGAGTATCTGGAGGTAAACACGTCAAGTCATAATCCACTTAAAACAGTAAAAAAAAAAAAAAAAAAAAAAGAACTGACAGACACTGTCTTTTGTCAATCAGTACAATACACCTGCAGATCATTCTACTAAGGTGAATACTTAAGTGCTGAGCTGGTTTTATCAAAACTTTGCTTCCTTTACTTTCAGCTCTTTCCCAGATCCAGACAAACTAATTAAGGTAACTATAGATTACTATCTGAACTAGCTTGATAATAAAATTAAAATCCTTTCTTAACCTCAGAAAATAACAAAAACAAAAAAACAAACAAATTGCTGCATAACTGTCATTTCCATCTTTTTCAGAAAAGGTTCAATTGAAGTAAGACTTTAAAAATCACTTAATAATGAAGAGAACTGGTTGGAGCCCTGACCTGAAATCATGTTTGTTCATGTCACAGGGTTATTTTGTTGTATACACCCTACATAATGTGGATTGAAAGTTTTTATGGCTGATATATGTTCAGCAGAGTCACAAGAAACACTAAGAGAGTTTCTACGAGTAACACTGTAAACTTTGGTTGTGACAACTATTTGTATTGCCGCCCAGCGACACAGAAACCTGATGAAGACAAGAGGAAGTACCGCAAAGAGAGAAGTGAGGAGGGTCTGGTGACATGCTCTTCATACATACATTCAGATAAACGGGGATTAATAATGTGCAGTCATTATTTGACAGGTAACCACACCTGGTATAATGGTGTAAGAATGGCCACCCACACTAAGAATCATAACCCTCGTTGAGAATAAAATACATCATACCACTTTGTTCAGAACTACAGCGTGCCCTTAAACCCACAGCCAGCATGGCGAGGAACCATCATCTATATCCAAAAAACCAATCTATTTATACATTTCAAATCATTTTAAAACAGGGCAGAAGGTGGATGTGACAGGAAAAGGGAAGAGAGAGGGGGAGAGGAAAAAAAACCCAACATGACAGGGAAAACATGGTGTGCTGCTAATTTTTCTTCTTGATGTTGTTGTTGGAGGTGAGCCGGGGCCGTGGTGTTGGGATAAAGCTTCCAAACAGGACTCGACTTCGGGCCACCTCAAAGACTTTGGAGAAGATCTGGAGGAAAAGGAGAAGGAAGAGGTCACATCAGACTTGAAGTTCTCTATGCATTGGGTAACACAATCTCCACTTTGACCAACTCTGCTCGAGCTCAAAATCCCATCCTCAACGCTGCAGTAATTATTCATCTTTTATCCCATTACAGTTTAATATTTATTTACCAATCACATACAGCCAGCTCTGGCTCATTTTACAGCAGCCTTGATGTCAAAATGTGTGCAAATAATCATGTTGCTAGGCAACCTGGTATGCCACAATAGCTGCTTTATACTGTTATATTGTTTCTATGGTGTGAAAATGATGTCCTGGGTTGTTTTAATTTTTTCTTCTTTTGAACCCTCACCCCTCAAAAATCAGTATTTGATGAATAAGCCCATTTCAGTTTCACTCAACACATAACGTAATGAAATCAAAGCTACTAATTATTACTCCTGTACTGTATGCGCAATCAAAACCGTTTACTTTTGTTAAATTTTATTAGGCTAACTGGACTTGTTTGGAGAGGAGGTAGCTGCTGTCTCAATATAGCAGGATCACTTGAGGCTGGGTCTAAAGGTGAATATTTTAAAAGTGTTATGGACTGTTAAAATGCTGCACAGCATTAAAGAGCATTTTTAGAACCTGGTACAAAGAATGGTGTTAGCCTCTTGCTCCATAACAGTTGTTTTCCAAGTTATCTTGGAGTAATATAGGTAAAGCTTTATGTTGGGTGTGTAGTAGTTTGACAGGTGTGCCACCAAATGGAGCTATAGTCAGCATCTATCTACAAGGATTTTTATACATTATTAAAAAGGAATTATATGATGCATATTATGGCTCGAGTTTTGGGCAAATCCCCAAGGAAGGCATCACCAAGAAGTGATGACTGTACGTTACAAAGGTTAAAGACTGTTGCAAATATATAATTGGTGGTCAGCGTGACGGATATACTGGCATAAATGCCACGGAATGTCAGGAGAGGAGATCGGAAGAAATTCCAGATGATGAGAGAACTGGAACACTGAGCTCTAGTGAAGCATGCTGTGATTTCTAGCATTGGAGGTAATAAGTTTAGTTTATTTCACTGGATCAACATCGTCCCGTGCCCTTCCCTCCTGCTGCTACTCCTCCCCCTCTCCCTGAATTGTACAGTTTGATGGCTCAGGGAACAAAGAATTTTTAGCCCTGCTGGTTCTGCTGCTGGGGAGGAGCAGCCCGTCGCTGATCCGGTTTCTCTGTGGTTTGATGACAGTTAGCAGAGGAAATTTCCAGAGTACTTTTCTCTGCCACTGTTACCAGAGAGTCAGTCTAGCTTCATGCCAACCACAGAGCCAGCCTACCTTCGCCAGCCTGGAGGAATCCTTTTTGGATGTACCACCCCTCCAGCACGCCACCACGTAAAAGATCAAGCTGGCAACCACTAACTGGTAGAACATCCACAGGAGTTTCCTGCAGATGTTTAAGGAGTGCAGAGACATGCATGACACATCTCTGAGTTGTTAAGTCTAAAGTGCATAGGGTGAAGGGAAGAGGGGCCAGCACTGTGCCCTACGGTGCACCAGTGCTGCTCAGTCCTTCAGCTTGACATACTGTGGTGTCTCAGTGAGGTAGCTGCTTATCCAGGTCACCAGGCAGGGGTCCACTTCAATCCGTTCAAGTTTTTCCTGGAACATAATTGGCTGGATGATATTGAAAGCACTAGAGAAGTCCAGGAAAAGTATCCTGACTGTGCAGCAGCCATGGACACAGCAGGCCCAAAGGCAGGGGGACTTCCTGGGTCAAAGCCAGTTCTCTCCTCACTTGGTCTGCAGTTATGCAGGGAGAGGACTGTGGGGAGGGGAGGAGGAGAGGTATGTCCTCTGTGTCAGGTGAGGGTGCCAGTGAGGGAGAGAGACTGCGATGAGCAGGGTGTGGAGTGTGCAGCAATGTCATGTGGAGAAAGGAGTTGGGGGAGGGCACTGTAGTGAGGTGGGACAGTTGGTTGTTGGTCATACCGATTGAAGAAGGTTACCAAGAGTTACTTGGCTCCTCCAATGTCTCCTCTATTGTACCACCCCTCGTCTTGTGTCCTATCCTTTATTCTGTAGGCCACCTTCTTCCCGTTGAGGATAGCCTTGACCTCCTGTGTTATTCAGGAGGTGTTGTTAGGATAACAGCGTACTGTCTTGACAGGTGAGACCGCGTCCACACTGACAGCCTGCAATCCCTTCACTGTCCTCATCATGTGGATCCAGCAGCATATCCCAGTCAGTGGATTCAAACAGTCTCTCAGGGCACGCTCCACTTTTGGAGACCTATTTCTTGATGCAGTGTGTTGAAGCCGACGGCCTTTTAAACAGGAGGTAGGTGTAACTGTGAAGATTTTCTCCAAGACACATACATCAGTCACGTGGTAGTGCTCTGTCTTTACACTCCCCCGAGTGCAGATGTGAACTCCCTCAGCAGATATCTGTTAGCCTGCGGTCATCCTAAGAGTTTTAGATACCTGCATTCTATGAAGGAGGACTACAGAACAACCCAGTATTCCTTAGGCAGCTGTGCAGTAAAATGGTAATGGAGGAGCAGCTAAAGATGGAACTGCAACTATTTTTCAGCAGGACATGAAATGACGGTAATAGACAGGTTCGAGGAATGATGGACAAGGCTAAACAACTATTATTCACTAGAAGTTGATTCCAAGAAGTTGATTCTGTGTATCTGGCCATGAGTACAATTTACAGAGAGTTAAGGAATGGCTGCAATCACGGAATTGTAAGGTGGAGAAAGATCACCATCTTTGCCATGGTGCTGAAGGCCATTGATCAATGGTTATTGATCAATAGTTATGACAATTTGCATATTAACGATCATTAAAACTGGTCTTGACAGCCCATTGTTTGTCACTGGTGCTAATTTCAGTGATTATACAAATGTTGGGGAAACCTGCAGGTAGGTGAGACTGAAGAAGTCACTTGGATGAGTGACAAAACATTTCTCATGCTGAAAATGACATGTCCAGAATAACAGAATGAACCTTTAGAGATTTTCTTTTCTGGATGATTGAGCATGCATCAAGACATTAGTTATTATTGTCACTGGTCAGTACCAGACTTACTAGTTGTTTAATCTAATTGTTAACATTTTAATTGATGCTCAATGCTAGTAAACTGTTATGTCCTAAATGTTATGCCTCCCTACCTCCTTCACATCAAAAACACACAATAGGTGTCAATGGGTGTTTTGACAAAAATGAGAACACAACCAATTCGTAGTGCAGGGGGTCAATTATAGACAGAGAACAGGAAGGGGAGTGTATGAGATGTGGCCAAGCTCCTGAAATTCAAATAATTATCTAAATAAAAAGTTCATTGATAAGTCTTAGTGGTTTTGATTGTGATTAAAAATAAATAAATAAATAAAATCTAACATATCTCCCTAGTCCTGCAACTATTAAAAAAAAAGGAAAGATATACGTGAAGCAAGGGCTCACCTTTCGTGGAGTCCTCTGGAAGCATTAAGGGGCAAATATGAAAGATTAATCAAAAAAGCAAGAACAGAAAAACCAAAAATGTCAGAACTATGGTAGTGAAGCTAATTTGGGGAAGGTGGGTTGGAGCACCATGTCAATGTTTCTTTGACAGAAAGCACTTACTTGGAAAAAAGAAAAAAGCGCCTGTATAAATAGCCGCGAATGGGTGAATGAGGCAAGTTGTATAAAATGCTTTGAGTGCTTAGGAACAGTAGAAAAGCACCATATATGAACCAGTCCATTTACGATGTAAATGTACCAGTTTACCATGTACCAGTGTCAGTCACACTTGCGACTAATGCTTCAACTTGTTTAAAAAAAGCAAGCTGTTGCTGCTCCCATTCACAGCCATTTGTTTTTGACTGCGACAAATCTACAGCAAAGCTACAGAAGAATTAATTTTATTCTTTATTGGGGCTGCTACTGAACTATTATTAATATTAATAATTAAAGTTAATAATTAAATAACTATAAATAAATCTACATCCTCAGAACATCTTTTCTGCAGCAGGAAACATTACATCGAAGTACAAAGAAAAACCTCACTTTTGCATACATTTTTTCTTCAAGGTCCTTTAAAGCCTTACAGAAACAGTCACTTATAGCACACGTACACACACAAAATATACCTCATCTGGGAGTCAAAGCTGTCAGAACCTTCATTGAAGTTCTACGTATACCTTGCACCTTATTGTGTACTGTTCTTGTGTTCTATGCTTAAATATTGAAAAATAAAATATTCAGTAAATTAACCTCCAAGGACCTGGCATCCACATATGTGGACATCACATTTTGGGATGTCTAGACCAAAATACTTAATTTTTCTCTACAAGGGCCTGATATTCACTTACGAGGACAGTATACTGCCACTGTTCTATCAAAATTCAAAACAAATATCGTCATATGTAGATCTCATTTTTCTTAGAAACAAAAATTAGGTTAAAAAAAATCTGGTAATTCTTTGTTTTTACATTCATCAGGTCCCAATCAGCCCAAATAGCAAAGAAAAATTAAAAATGCATGCCATGAAAGAGTTCGGGTCTTAGGAGGTTAAACTCCTGACAAATAGAGGTACTTGAATTTTAAATAATAAAATTTAGACAGTTGATGATGGCAATCACCTCTCACTTTTGAAAACTTTTGAGTGAAGCATAAAAGGTGGGGAGAAAACATTGATATACCATGACCTAAATGAGAACCTACATAAAAATACTGATATACAGTGATGGGAATAACGGGGTTACAAGTAACGGCGTTACTAAGGGCGTCACTTTTTTCCAGTAACAAGTTATCTAACTAATAATTCCTATTGTTACAACGCCGTTACTGTTACTAAGAAGAAAATACGGTGGGGTTGCGTTACTATTTTTCAACAAGCAGACGGTTGAAGCTGTCTTCAGCTTACCACATCTTATATCAGTTGTATGAAAGTAGCTGTAAGTAATCTGGGCGCTACAGCTTCAAGCAGCTGCGTGCGCTCTCGCAGGCGGCAATCACTGGAGCTAAGGGGGCAAAACAATCGCATGAGTGCTGCTGTTTGACTGAGGAAGAATAAAGTAGTCGTGGTAAGCCAATCACACGACCACTTCAAGATGACAAAGCAACAAGGTGCCAGTTTTTAAATTGTACTGATAGACCACGTAAAACCAGAGTCATGATAAACAATATATACGTGGCGTTTTTTCCTCAACAGTTTTGTAACGTTTACTGTCTAAGGACAGCGCAGCGAGCACTCTCTGCTTATGACCAAAAAACAAAAAAAACAAGAAACAGCCCTTTGGTGTTGGTGGAAAAATGCACCATGACGACCAATCAAAAATGATATGGCAACATGACATTTGGCTGTTTAGGAAGAGGGGGACGTTTTAGGAGTGACGGCGAGAGAGAGAGAAAGACAGCAGAAAAAGAGAGAGAGCGAGTTTTGAGATGTGAGAGATTTGTGACGTTTAGCGTGTTTGGAGTGTGTAGTTAATGTGTTGTCTTGTGCAGTTAGCGTGTAGCGTTTTGAATATTTTTGCGTTGTGTGTCAGAACAATGAGGCGACTGCGGTCTCCAGGTAGAAAACAGGAGGAGTGATATACCTCCTGCTGTCAGACCTGCAGGTATCAGGCTGTGATGTTCTCCTTTATAGTGGACAGACATTTTTGGAGTGGCACAAATAATTTGTGTGGCATCTTATTGAATGCAGAACAGCTGATTGTTATGTAAATAGTTTGAAATGGTTATTTGAAAAAGGGTAAAAGGTAAATGGACACAAATAACTTTGTTGTTTGCAAAACTTGCATAGGATTTTGAAATTGACCATTTATATTTGCATTTAAAGTTATGAAATATGATTCAATAAACATGTTTGAGGTTGTTACAGTAAAAAATATAACCTTCTCTACTTTTTTGTCTGATTTTAGATCAACTGGGTTAATACAGAATGTCAAAATGAAAACATAACTGTAAATTCAGACACGTGAGGTTGTGCTAAAAAGAATAATACCAAACAAGACAAAGTAAATAGTTTTTAAAGGTAAAATGTGGAGGTAAAATCAAAAGTAGTTAAAAATGGCCAATTATACCCTGGACCCCAGAGGGTTAAACATTTTTTAAAGTAACGCAATAGTTACTTTTCAAGTAATTAATTACTTTTAGAATCTTGTAACTCAGTTACTAACTCAGTTACTTTTTTAAAGAAGTAACTAGTAACTATAATTAATTACTTTTTCAAAGTAACTTGCCCAACACTGCTGATATACTCAATCAATCAGTTAATCAATCATTCACTGACATAAAGATTAGAAGAAATTTGCACCACTTGTAATGCAAAGATTGTCCTCTCACCTGTTCCCAGAGGGTTTCAGCCACCTGGTCAATGAATCCTCCGACCTCGCGAAACTCTCCAGAGTATTTAACATAGGCCCAGATGCAGAGTGCTGTCAGAGCCAATCCCATCACCAGGTTGCACAGCGTGGTCACAGAGCTAATGCCCACAAAGCCGGTGACAACTGACACTATGTACATGACAAACATGACAGCAAAGAGTGTGGCGGGCGTCCGTGCAGCGTAGAAGATGTTCTTTCCATCATTCTGCTTGCTGAAGTTGGCATAGGCCTCATCGAGTTCTGCCTCCAGCTTCTCCTGGTAGCGCCGGCAGAAATCTTCTCCGCCCATCTTCTTGACAGAGCGGAAGCACCGCACGGAAGCCTGCCGTAGCTCCACATGACGGCGCTCTAACTCTGCTGGGGAAATGTATGGTTTGTCTCCACCACAGATCTGAGACCAGGACAGGAAATACAACAAAACAATTTACTGAATTCATCAAACAAAACCTGGATCTCTGATTAAATGAACAGGAAGTAACAGTGTTTAGACAATGATCAAACTTCTGGCACAAACTCATGTTAACCACATATTTTGTGGTTATATGTGTACTCTTCACAAATCAATCAGAATTGAGAGTCAGGAGTTACATCACTTTAGTCTGACATCCAAGTTCTGAGGTGTCTGGATCTCAAACTCTCCAGATCAGCTTAAATCCATGTCCCTCAAAATGCCATATGTTTACCTGCTCCATGCTTTTGTTGTATATGTCTTTGGATCCTGCTACAGCTGCAAGGTTATTTGCTTCAGCTGTTGCCTAAAAACCAGAGGACAAAACATTGTGCAGAAACAATCTTTATCACACATTAATCAATACAGAAAGTTTTTAATTAAACTGAGATTGAGTGCAGCCTGATCTGAGGCATGTGGTGTTGTTGTTTTCCTTTAAAGCAAATGTATCAACTTGATACTTGATTGAAGATGTAAAATCTTCATAATAAACAGACGCCATTCACTTCTTAACCTCAGAGACACTTACTCTTCTGATTACAGATCATAATGTAAACTGTCCAGGAGATGGAGCCATCTAACAGTGAAACTGAAGGAGCTGAACCAACCTGGAGCATTGATTTGGGATGAGGGAGTTCCTCTCCCTGATAGATCTTCATGTAGGCCTGCAAATACAGCAGTAGGGTAGGGAACATTTTTAGAAATTTGACAATACAATCAACCAAAATGGATAGCTTTTTCTGTGGCTTTCAACCAAGTCTTACATAGATGACTTACTGACGAGTAAACTCACTTTGAAATAGTGCAGCAGATCTCTGCAGGTAATTTTGACTCCTCCAATCTCTTTTTCCACTAGATTTTCTGGAGCAAGCAGCGCTGGAACGAGGTTCAGCAGCTCCTTCTGGAAGTCCCCATCAATATCTGAGTGACACACCAAAAACATATTTACCCCCCACCCCAAAAAAAGTGTATAATAGCTTCTCCTGGTGGAGAAGCACTGAGTTGTGTGCATTCCATGTTTATCCCTGAGGGGTCAATTAGATCCCTCCTGCAAATAAATAATTTCCTGAGCAAGCCAAGTTGTTCCTTTATATCCATATTTTCGCATTTTAAGTAAGACTTGACCAAATATAGGTTTTTAGGTGTTATATTAATTAGATCGTCACAGTCTGTAAAATGAAATTCACATTAGAATAAACAAACAAACAAAGGGTACAACAAATGACACATAATAGCTAACACATCTAAAAAAAATTAACATTACAGAAAAACATGGTGAAAAGTTATAAACTATTTTTGGGTTGTAATATTTGGTTGCACTGACACAAAGATGGCATATAAACATGCACTCCCTGCCAAACAGATTGAAGAGCTGATCATCGACATTTTAAATATTGATCTTACAGCTGGCTACAAAAACGTATACAAAACACTTTGAATAATTATTCTAAAAAGCAGAACAGTCAAAGCTCATCATTATATTCATACCTGCCCCTGATTACCATACCTACACCCTCTTACCCAGGGTCATTTCACTCTTTATTTGCTTTGATTAGTTCAGTACAATCTTCACCACAAAATTCAAGAAGAATTATCCCAAAATACTGTTGATGGCTACCAAAATCATCTGGTTGAGTTGCAAAAAACAAAAAAAAATCGATCCAGGATGAGGTCAGTCTGGTCTTGAAGTTTTGTGCGACTGCTCTATCTACTAGAAGGTGATGTTTCACCCCTCTAGTGTCCCTACCAATATATAATAAATGGTAAATGGCCTGTATTTGTATAGCGCTTTACACTACATTCAGTCATCCACCCAGTCACACACACATTCACACACTGGTGATGGCAGCTACATTGCAGCCACAGCTGCCCTGGGGCGCGCTGACAGAGGCGAGGCTGCCGGACACTGGCGCCACCGGGCCAATATATTATATTATTACATACAAAAACAGAAACAAACTGTCTGTCCTTTAAGCTCAGGTCGGGCCTAGGAGCCCGAGGATCCTATGCACTATCCTAACTATCCTAGGACTGCGCTCTTCTGGACACAGAAACCTGATATAATTCCTGGAATGTGCTAGAGCCGCTCCCCAAATTTGGGGGTCACTGCTCTGAGTGTTTCGATTACCTTCACCTTCAGTGTCTTCTATAGGTCTTCTCTCAGCGTGTTTCCTTTCTCGAGCTTCTTCTGTTCATTCTTCCTGAAGTTGCTTTTGCTACATCTATCACACGGCATTTTTTCTCTGTTTGTTCACTACTACTATATGCATGCATAGTTACATATTATAACGTAACATAACATTACATTACATATTCCTCCACTCGCATAAATTCAACAAACTGCACACATAGAACTCAGCAGCCATGGATAAAAAAGGAAGAGTTTCTACTTTCCAAGACATCCTGCATGTTTGTGCCCTTGCAAGTACCTCTGCTCTGAGAGATTTTCAGGATTAAAGCATTAAAATACTGACACCTATGACACTTTTCACTACTTCCACTGCTACACTACAAACAATAACTGCTGATAGTTAATTTGGCAAAAGTCATTTTCAAAATCGTAAATGGTACATAGACAGTGGTTTAAAACAGTTCTTGTGTTGCTTCCACAGTGTAATTTAACACAATAACCTTAACTGTCCAAAGTGAACAATCACATTAGGACCCCTTTTCTTTTGGGCTTCCATACAGTCAAAACTCAGGTGATTTGAGCGAGCTTGATTTGGTTTCAAGAACAAAGAGTTACCATCAAGAGCATAATGGAGCAGCCCTCATAAACTAGCCACTTGTGTGAGATGCCGTCTTTGTGCACAAGTTCTGTGCACGAAAATATACTTGCACAAGTGATCATCAATACCTGCACAGATGGACAGATTTACTTGTGATTATGCTATTTCTCGCACAGCTTTTGATGTAAATATCCATCTATAGCGCAGAACATTCAGAGGCTACAGCACAGCTGGAATAATAAGGTGGCCACGCTATTGATGTCAAAACACAAAAACTCCTCACAATGTTCAGGTCTCCACCCAAAGCTAAGCATCCTGAGGGTCGATGAGCAATAAAAAAAGGGAGGGCAAGGATTAGTTAGTGCCAGAGCAACAATCCAGGAGCATCCATAATCGGGAGAGGGCCCAGCTTGAGGAACAGAGAAATACCACCCTCCAAGGGGTGAGGAAGAGAACATACACACGAAAAGAAGATGAACTGACCTTTGCTATTACAAGTTCTGTTATACCTGTGAGCCGCCCATCGAAATGAGGATTGGTGGCCACCTTGAGGCCAGGGTGAGGCAACAAGAAACAGCTGATTTTGGAGAAGCAGGAGTGGATGTGTCTGCGGACATTCTGGAGCTCCTCGTGTTGGTTCTGTTTCACCTGAACACAAGCCAGGCACTTCAGTTAATATCTGATTTACTGCACTTAAAACAAATTAAAACAATGTGAAATGTAAAAAACCGTGGAGATGTTCGACAGAAGATTGCCTCTATATATAGTAGGTAGGCAGTTTCCACCTGCTTTACATCCACTGCCACGTGACTTTGTTGATCTATTAAGTCAGGCTGTTAGGGTTTAATTATTCAACTCACCTGCAATCGTTTATCCAAGAAGCCCCGCCCTCCCTCCAGGCCGTATGGATGTTCATATGGGTAACTCCAATCTCTGATTAGGAACATCAGTCTCTTAAAAAACAACATTTAAATTATTATTCAGCATGGACATCAATGTGTGACTTTCAGGTGAAGAACATCTAGAAATGGATAAGAGTGTGCAACAGTTAAAACTCAAGCAGTATGTGCTGGTATGAAGAAAAAGATTGTTAGAAGCTTTGACCAGGAACAGACATGAAGACAAAATGTTTTCCTTTCATGACTTTACAAGTACTGATACAACAAGACAAAGCTTGTTTTAAAATTAAAAGAAACCTCCCTTATATATTTTAAGGACAATGACCATAGTATGGCAGACCTGAAAGGGTTTCTCATAGACTTCCTCCATGGCCAGTCGTCCATATTCAGTGAAGAGCTGAGGAGACAAAACAAGCAAAAAAAGCCTAGAAAACAGAAGCAGCTATAAAATATCAAGAAGTACAAGAACAATTGTTTTCATATCTGATTGTTCGATAAGCAATGCTTAATGCTATTTGTCAGGGTCTGTTTTAACATCAAGAATAACAAGCTGAAGAAGAAACTGTGTCCCAGAATTCATAGCGTGGCCCTGCTCAGTTTCCAACAATGGCGGCAGCTAGTTAGTTTAATATTACTCTTATTATTCTTTCTGGGTCACAAAATAAACGTTTAACATATTTTCAGGCGAGAATGTAGCTGTGTAAACCTCAAATATCTGCTCAGTTTATCAGGACACCACATATTTTCAAAAGTGCTCCGACGTTTTCGGAGACATCTGATACCCACCAGCTCAATAGCTAGTTCAAGGCTCACTAGAGCACGGTGAGAACACCGGACTCCCGGCAAATCGTTTTCAAACCCACCGCCGTCTTTCGCTACTCAGGTTAAACATGATATATAAGCCACTTAGATAACTTAAAAATGTTGTTGTTTGGCTTTTTTTAGTATTTTATTTGTTCCTGAGTAAATCGGTTTGGCTGAGATTAAAGTTATAGTTTTTACACAGCTGAATAAATGTCAAGCAGACAACTGATTATCAGAAGTGTGAGATGCTCCAGAATATACTCCGGTGTCCTGTTATATTTTAGATAGCAAGGAGCAGACGGCTGAGTTTATTAAACTTCACTGAAACAATCTGCAGATTTCATCAAAATTTAATAAACTATCATCTTGTCTTTATTTTTAGTTAGCACATACCTTACACACTTAAAGCTGTAAGCTAATGATAGTTATATAAGAGCATGCTGGTGCAATAAGCTGTACGTTTTACGTCCAATGAATGCATGATCTGATTAGTCGACTAATCGCAAAAATAATCGGTGACTAGTCAACTATCAAAATAATCGTTTGTGGCAGCCCTAATGCAGAGATGCGCAAGATTCTAAAAGAGCAGCAGATCCCCTTCCAGACTCTCTTCCCAGCCCTGCTTAAGGTGAAATATACACGGAGTGCAGAATTATTAGGCAAATGAGTATTTTGTCCACATCATCCTCTTCATGCATGTTGTCTTACTCCAAGCTGTATAGGCTCGAAAGCCTACTACCAATTAAGCATATTAGGTGATGTGCATCTCTGTAATGAGAAGGGGTGTGGTCTAATGACATCAACACCCTATATCAGGTGTGCATAATTATTAGGCAACGTCCTTTCCTTTGGCAAAATGGGTCAAAAGAAGGACTTGACAGGCTCAGAAAAGTCAAAAATAGTGAGATATCTTGCAGAGGGATGCAGCAGTCTCAAAATTGCAAAGCTTCTGAAGCGTGATCATCGAACAATCAAGTGTTTCATTCAAAATAGTCAACAGGGTCGCAAGAAGCGTGTGGAAAAACCAAGGCGCAAAATAACTGCCCATGAACTGAGAAAAGTCAAGCGTGCAGCTGCCAAGATGCCACTTGCCACCAGTTTGGCCATATTTCAGAGCTGCAACATCACTGGAGTGCCCAAAAGCACAAGGTGTGCAATACTCAGAGACATGGCCAAGGTAAGAAAGGCTGAAAGACGACCACCACTGAACAAGACACACAAGCTGAAACGTCAAGACTGGGCCAAGAAATATCTCAAGACTGGTTTTTCTAAGGTTTTATGGACTGATGACATGAGAGTGAGTCTTGATGGGCCAGATGGATGGGCCCGTGGCTGGATTGGTAAAGGGCAGAGAGCTCCAGTCCGACTCAGACGCCAGCAAGGTGGAGGTGGAGTACTGGTTTGGGCTGGTATCATCAAAGATGAGCTTGTGGGGCTTTTTCGGGTTGAGGATGGAGTCAAGCTCAACTCCCAGTCCTACTGCCAGTTTCTGGAAGACACCTTCATCAAGCAGTGGTACAGGAAGAAGTCTGCATCCTTCAAGAAAAACATGATTTTCATGCAGGACAATGCTCAATCACACGCATCCAAGTACTCCACAGCGTGGCTGGAATGAAAGGGTATAAAAGAAGAAAAACTAATGACATGGCCACCTTGTTCACCTGATCTGAACCCCATTGAGAACCTGTGGTCCATCATCAAATGTGAGATTTACAAGGAGGGAAAACAGTACACCTCTCTGAACAGTGTCTGGGAGGCTGTGGTTGCTGCTGCACGCAATGTTGATGGTGAACAGATCAAAACACTGACAGAATCCATGGATGGCAGGCTTTTGAGTGTCCTTGCAAAGAAAGGTGGCTATATTGGTCGCTGATTTGTTTTTGTTTTGTTTTTGAATGTCAGAAATGTATATTTGTGAATGTGGAGATGTTATATTGGTTTCACTGGTAAAAATAAATAATTGAAATGGGTATATATTTGTTTTTTGTTAAGTTGCCTAATAATTCTGCACAGTAATAGTCACCTGCACACACAGATATCCCCCTAAAATAGCTAAAACTAAAAACAAACTAAAAACTACTTCCAAAAACATTCAGCTTTGATATTAATGAGTTTTTTGGGTTCATTGAGAACATGGTTGTTGTTCAATAATAAAATTATTCCTCAAAAATACAACTTGCCTAATAATTCTGCACTCCCTGTACTGATAAAACAAAAATTTACAACACTGCAGCTGAAGCCACCGAACATATGGCCAGTAGAGGTTATGCTGTAAACGTCGTTATAACACCTGAAATAGTTCTGGAAGAACTGAAGCAGCTAACATGGAGTAAGGTCAGCAGAGAACCAGTGAGCGCAGCGGCAAACAAGAAACCCGATCCCGGTTACAAAGAAAAACTCTGAGCCTTCAGGAGGACGGTACCTTCTTCCTCGGAAAATTGAGGTCTACTTACTTTGTTTCCCTTTACAATTAAGTTTACTATATGGTGTACAATACATAAATAAATAGGTTCTCTCATGAATGCTCTTTATGGTGAGGCCTAAGCCATCAAGAGCCTCCTTCATAGACTGATGAGGAAGTTGCCTCTCGAGGTGAAGCAGGGTCCATTTCAGGGACCTCTACCTCGGAAGTTAAGATTTTATTTTGATTTCTGTTCCTTTCTGATGAAACTTTTTTTCATATGTTTTATGTTTAGTTTTTACAAGGGTGTGCAGATAATAATCACAGAAAATTACAATTTAGACGAGTAGCAGGTTAATAAAAATTTTGTCAATTAATATTAATGGCTTACATAGTCCAGTGAAAAGGTGGAAAGCCCTATCTAAGTTTAAAAGGGACAAAGCCCAAATTGTTCTGATGCAGGAAACACATCTAGCTGACAAAGACCAGGCAAAACTTAACAAACAAGGTTTCAAACATGCCTTCTATTCTTCTCATAGTTATGGGAGGCGAAGGGGGGTGGCGATTCTGTTATCCTCAGCTTTGAATTATGAACATATAAGGTAGATATATAATGGTAACAGGTAAGACTGAGGGTACCATGATTACTCTCTTAAATGTGTATATTCCCCCAGGCAGTGACTAGTCCTTATATAGGCAGATTTTGAAATTGGCAACAACAAGGAGTCAGGGAATTTTCATTTGCTTTAATGTCACATTAAATGTCAAACTAGATTCTTCAAACGGAAAAGGTGATCAGAGGAATACTGGAAGAAGAATGGTGCATTTTATGGACAATTTTGGACTACTAGATGTGTGGAGAGATTTTCATCCAAATGATAGAAAGTACACCCATTTCTCAATTCCGCACAACGTATATTCTAGGCTAGATTATATTCTCGTGTTTAAGAACTATGTATTTAGAATTAAAAGCTGTGAAATAGCCGCTTGTACCATCTCAGATCATAAGCCGGTTTATCTTGATATCTGCCTGAATAGCAAAAATAGATTAACCTTATGGAGGTTGAATTCAAACATTTTAAATTATCCAAATATTAAAGAGAGTTTGAAAAAAGAAATAGAAACTTACTTAGAGTATAATGAAAATGAGGAGGTATCTCCGGGAATATTATGGGATGCATTGAAGGCAGTGATTAGAGGAAAAATAATTAGTATATCCTCTTACATTATAAAATCAAGGTGGGAAAACCGTTGTCAATTAGAAGACAAATTGTTAGAGCTACAACATCTACACTCTGTGACGCTGAATGATGATATTAAATCTGATATAATAAAAAAAAGAAAGATAATCTAAACACAATGGACATACAGAAAAAAGGTCTTTTTATTAAACAACAGCAATGCGAGGTAGGGAGGAAATCATTAAGACTCCTGTTTCTTAAACTTAGGAAGCAACAAGCAGAGAGGACTATACATAGAATAAAGAACCATTTCACAACTGCTTTTTGCTTTGTTTATAGAACCATTAAGTCAATGGATCAGGCAGAGACAGGATATAACTGGAGTAAGAATGGCAGGAGGGGAACAGAAATTAGCACTACTTGCTGACGACTTACTTTTAACAATATCCTTTCCCTTACAGGCACTCCCCCAAATCATGGACATGCTATCAGAGTATGGCTCTTTTTCGGGATATAAGGTTAATGTAAATAAAATGCAGGTATTAACTGTAAACTATGAACCACCAGTCAAAATTAAGAATTGCTATAAATGGAAATGGGATGCAGATAGCATTAGGTATCTAGGGTTGGTAATACACCGTGACTTCACCAAAATGTTCAGTGCCAACTATGCCCAGATAAATGAATCTATAAAATCAGATATACAAAGATGGAATACCATTCCGTTTCTGGACCTACACTCCAGGATCGAATCAATCAGATTAAATATTCTTCCCCGACTGCTGTATTTGTTTCAGTCTTTACCGATTGCCATACCACAAAAACAGTTTGTGGCATGGGATAGAATATTGTCAAAATACTGGATTGTCAAAATCTGGAACGGGAAAAAAGCTAAAGTTAAATATAAAACACTCAAACTAAAGAAAGAAAAGGGAGGTCGTGGGCTTCCTTGTCTACGAGAATATTATTGTGCAGCTCAGTTAAGACCATGGATATGTCTCTGTTGTCCAGATTACACGCCGGATGGAAAGATGTTGAAGGAACAATAGTCAAAGGAATACCAGTTACAGCTTTAATATCGGACATAAACGTGGCAGACGAACCTATACTACAAATAATGATATCTGCTTGGAAAGAAGTAATAAGAATTCGCGGTTTGGAAAAGGGCTCCAAGGTTTTAAGATGGTGTGCATATGATTCAGATTTTACCCCAAATCATTACGATAATAGATTCAAGAACTGGGTTTCAAAAGGTATAACTAATTATTATTCATTTGTCCACAAGGGGGCATTCCAAAGCTTTGAGCTTTTTTTTTTTTTTTTAGCTTTTTAAGACGTAAACATGATTTAGGTTCAGACAACTTCTTTAGATATCTACAGGTCAGAAATTATTTTAATCAAAAATTAAAAGTGAACCTAAATGAATTACAATTTGTAGAAACATTTTTATTATTAACCAAATCTGGAGCGCAAAGCAAAATCATTTCCAAATTATATAACAGCATCCTGCGGTGTAAAAACGACAGCACTGTGTATATTAAAGCAATGTGGGAAAAAGAAGGTAATTTGTCAATTACAGAGGAGTGTTGGGACCACACATGCAAGATATAGTGGGCTACCACTGGGTCTAATGTTTGGCGTGAATTTTGCTGGAAAAGAATTATGAGATTTTTCATCACCCCTGCTTAACAAAGATATTGGGGAACTGGTGACACATGTTAGAGATGTGGGGGAGATGGAGCTAACCATTTCCAAATCTTTTTGGGATTGCACAGTTATTCGCCAGTATTGGTCTCTAATCCATGAACATCTACAAAATGTGTTTTCATTTGTTTTTCCTTTAACCTTTGAGACCATATTTTTGTGTAATGTACCAGTGGATAAATTGAATTCCAATGATAATAGACTCTTGTATATCCTACTGGCCGCAAGTAAAAAGCCTCTTACAAGGGAATGGCTTAAGCTTGAACCACCAACGATGGAAGATTGGATACATTCTGTACAAGAGATCTATACGATGGAAAAATTGTCATTTTCTCTTAAACTTCAGAGGGATACTTCAGTGGGAGGCAGAGGGTCAGAGAAAAGAAGCACATAAAAAACTAACCTTTCTGGGCCATTTCCTATGCTGTTGTAGTGATTTTTAAAAAGAGTGCTAAACAATTATTTTTTCATTTGGTGTTTGTTTTTTTCTTTGATTCTTGTCACAGAAAAATTTGACCTTATCTTGTTTGGAGAGACTGCAGCTTTCATAAACTGCTTGTCCATTTCATGCGTGGATATGATGTAGGGCTGCAGCTATTGATTATCTTAGTAATCGAGTAATCTCTTGATTATTCCATCTTTTAATCAGAGTTCTGAAAGGCAGCTTTGAAAAAAAAGAGCTCTGAAAGGGTGTGTGTGCATATTATGAGTTTTTGTGCATGTGTGTCTGCAAGTTTAAGTGTGCAGGGAATGAGTGAGTTTGTGTCTTCAAGCCTTTAAAAGACTTTAAAGGAATGTGGTGGCTGCTATGAAGAAAACTGAGCATTCTGAAGTCTACCCTGTGCTTTCCCACATAACAGACAGGTCTGGCCCAGATCTGGTCCAGATCCGGCATCAAGCTGGCACTTCTGACTGACTGGTGTCATGGGTGGGTGTATGTCAACTAGATGTGGGCCAGGTCTGGCAATGGTGGCACTATTTATGTTCCTATTTTCCCATTTTAGTAAGAAGACCCCAATGCCATGTTGCAATACTATACTGCTATGGTAATAGAGCAGGGCGATATGACCAAAAATATTATCATGATATACATTTGAAAATTTGCGATAACGATATAACTGACAATATAATTGACACTAGACAAAACACTTTACAACTCCACAACTTTATTAGTGCAAAAAAACAAACAAACATCAATGTATTTTCACTTAAACAAGCAGCTGTTTTTTATATGCATTAAAGTTATATAAAAATTTTACAGAGCAAATGCAAATTCCTTGCTGACAATTTAACCAAAAGGCATTTCAAGTGGAAATTGGCCGACATATCCTCAGCATAACCATGTATAATATCCACAAAACATAAAAAGACGTTATACACACAGCGCAGAACGTATCACTCCGCGAGGCGCCTGCCTATGATAGCCGTAATGCTCCGACAATCCATCAAGCGGTGCGGGTTCGTAGCTTAGCAAAGTCGTACTAAAACATTTGACAGATTTTCGAGCACCGTGTGCATAAAATCATTTCGAGATCAGTAAACACAACCAGAATTCATACATAAGGCACACGGGATTATAAGGGCACTGTCAATTTTCAGAAAAATCAAAGGATTGATTTTAAGTGTGCCATATTTTCCCAAAAAAAAAAAACGGTAATAACGACGGCCCGCTAGCATGCTCTACCAAAAATAGTGCTTTGTTGTGTATGTGACGGATGAAAGCTAAACCAGTTACACACCACTGAAGTTGCAGCATTTTTACAAACCAATTCTGGTTCATCTGTTTCATTCAACGATCCACTTTCGCCCTTCTCATACTCCGTCGCCACCATGCTTTTTCCGCCATGTGCATATGAAAACAAAGGCACTGCGCATGCGCGTTTTACCCATATTCTATCGCGATATTTCATTTTCTTATCATTGCCCAACGTTATACCGGTATTACCGTGAACAATATGATATGGCCCAGCACTATATGGTAGCAAACGTTTCAAATGCAGATTTGACAGGTTTGTGAGTATACACTTTATCCAAAACCTAGTGAGGTTTAAAGAAGAAAGAAGAAAGAAGAAAGTGTACTTTATTGATCCCCGTGGGGAAATTCCTCTCTGTATTTAACCCATTCACTCAGTGAAGCAGTGGGTAGCTATTGGGCACCTGGGGAGCAGTGTGTAGGGACGGTACCTTGCTCAGGGTAGCTGTTCAGTGGAATCGAACCCCCGACCTTCATGGTGCCACCACTCTACCTACTGAGCTATCCCTGCCCCCCCTGCCCTTTACTCATGTTTCCCACTGGGTGGCTGTAGCTCATGAGGTAGAGCAGATCACCTACTGACATCTGGGGCAAGAGCTGAAACTGTTCTGGGCCAGCACTGGGCTAGTAGTGTGTCTGCAACTGGCCCGTGGCTGCACACAACTTACACACAGCCCACATACCACAAAGAATGGTGCCCCAGATCAGGTTTGCCAGAGGTAACACATGGGCCAGCACAGGACCTCCAGTGTGTCTCTAACTGGCCTTGTGCTGGCCCATGTGTGGTTCACCTCTGGCAAACCAGGTCTGGGCCACCAAAGGGCCGTCATTCTTTGCGGTATGTGGGCCATGTGTAAGCACATTGTGTGGGCCAGATCCGGGCCATACAAATTTTGCTATGTGGGTTGATGCAAGGTTTTTGTGCTGCTGATGTGTAGATGTTAAATTATATTAATAACAGTTCAGTGTCCAATCTAACGACCCTCAGGTTTACTGAACCATACTTTTTTATTGGCTTGTGAAAAAGCTTATATATGTTTAAATATTAACGCAATTAAAATGACAACAACATTTGATATTATTTCACTTTCAACGTAAAACGTTTTTAATGAAAGCATAAATAAATATGGTCTAGTACAACCCACGCTCGCATTTACATCGTTTAACACATTAGCACACAACAGAGCTGTGTGTTAAATGACACATCATTTAACACACAGCTCTGTCAAGTATTTTTTTATAATCAAATTATTTGAATTACTCAAATCATTACAACCCTAATTTGATGCATTTAATTGTTGCTGAAATAACGTAACATAAGAAATAACCTAAATAATTGGGTTCATGGGGTCTTGATGCATTCTCAATCATCTAGGAAAGTAAATCTCCAAAAAGTTTATTCTGTTCATCTGGACGTAGCGTTTTGTGGGAGAAACGTTTCGTCACTCATCCAAGTGACTTCTTCAGTCTCAGCTGACTGACCTCTCAGCCCATTGTTCCTTCAGTGGGCTGGTTTCAGTCATTATGCAAATGTACTGTTTATAAGGTTGGGGAAACCTGCAGTCAGTTGAGACTGAAGAAGTCACTTGGATGAGTGACGAAACGTTTCTCTCACAAAACGCTATGTTCAGATGAACAGAATCAACTTTTTGGAGAATTGGGTTTATGCTATAGGATTCAGTCTAGAAATAGTAAAGCTGTCTTGCAGGCTGATACTGACCTGGAGATGCTGAAGGTCATCTTCCTGAACATTCTGGGAAAGGTTGTACACCTGAAACACACATAATGTTGATGCCATAATTTCTAGATAAAAATGTATATTCTATTGTTATACTATCACAATGAATTAAAGAGTTTCTTATGTGACAACTAGAATATACTAGAAATAAAAAAGATGACTGACCTGCACAGAGCTGGTCATGGTGCTCAAGGCAAATAGTGTGGCACAGTCTTTAACGGTAGACTGGCTGTCAAACGCTCCCTGCGTGTCTATTAGTAGAACTGCAACCTGTGGAAAAATGATGTAAAAATAAAAAGATCACACCACATACATACAAATAAATATATATATTTTTTAAATTTCCCTCTCCCCCGAGGGCGTTATTTATCCTTCAAGCTTGGGTCCTCTACCAGAGGCCTGTGCGCTTAAGGATGTTGTTCCTGTGATCTGTTGGAGTCACTTGCCCAGCTGGGGGGGGGGGGTAACGAGAGTACTCCGATTACCACTAGGACCACTGTTGCCTTCATCTTCGACATCTTGGTATACCTACATCTAGGGCTGCTCAATTAATCGAATTTTAATCACGATTACGATCTGGGCTTTCAACGATCATTAAAAATGACTGAGCCGATTATTAGCCCCTCCCTCATGCTTTACTCTCGCGCTGCTCCATGTGGCAAATCAAGCGCACTGCTCTGCATTTCGAACACGCGTCACAACAATTAAGAGGACCCGAGGGAAGCTCGGAAAGCTAAGCAGAAGTTATTTGGAGAGGAGTGGACTGCCGTTGGTTGAAAAGAGAGGTAAAAAAAAACAAAACTTAAGTGGTGTGGAAACATTATGGCTTCGCGGAGTCAGACGTGGATCAAGTAGACACAGTGTGTAAACTTTGCTATGGTGTCGTAGCTGCACCACAGAGCAACACTGCAAAGTTCACATTTTTCATTTATTTCTTATATTGCAAACATTTGCGCTGTTATCAGTATTTGCACACTATTTTATATTATTTTTTAAAGTCATTATTCAATACATTGTTATTGTTAAACCTTTAAAGCCGGTCAGAGCAGCATGCTCGTTTTGTATAACTATTTTTAAATCCCTGTAGAACCTGAACGCTAAGCTAGCACAATAAATTTTTTTCCATATGAAACCAGAGGAGTTGTACGTACTTCTTATGCCATCAGCTTGTCCTTGGTCACGGTTTCCTTCCACATATAGCTTTGCAAAAATTGCATAAAAAGAGCTTGCAGGAACAAAAACATAATATTCCAGAAACACGCTTTGCCGATCCGATCATGAACTTCCCACATTGAACAAGACGTCAACGCGAACTATCGCAAGTGACGTTGTTTTTGCGGAAAATGTAGTTTTTTACTTGTAGGCCTTAGAACTCGAATTGCACTGCTGGAAATAGTTTATTTTGATGCACATGCACATTCTTTGCAAATTTGCATCATGGGATTGTTTTTTTGTTTTTCCTGCAGTATATAAAAATTGCTGTATCTCCAAAAATAAAACTATGAAGACACTCAAAATAAATTTCCTGTTGTTGTAAACTATTTTTTGCAACTTTTTTGTATTTAAAGTTTTGAGGGATAAACCTCTTAAATTTCTCCAAGTAGAAATATATGTAAAAACAAAAACGATTTTCAATTTTTTTGTAGTTTATTGCACTTTTTTGCAATTAATGTAGTTACTATGGACTTAATGCATACACATTTTAAAAATATGGGCTATAACAGTTGTATTGATGTATAGCAACTTGAAATGCTCCCACAAATGGCACTACAGCATGTAAAAAAATAATATAAGCTCTGGCGGACGAAATAAATATCGTCAAATAATCGTGATCTCAATTTCAGAGAAAATAATCGTGATTATCATTTTTGCCATAATCGAGCAGCCCTACCTACATCAATCACTACAGCTGTCTTCCTCTGCTTGTCCACGACTATTATGTACGGTTGGTTAGCCATCACCAGTTTGGCTGTCTGTATCTGGCAGTCCCACATGATCTTAGGTCTCGACGACCCTAGTGGGCATGTCTCATTTTGACCTTGAGACTTCCAGGTCATTCTCAGCCCAGGTGTTCCTGTATAATATGCCTGCTGGGTTGTAGCATTACATGCATGCCCTGTCTGCTAGCATCTTGAACCCTGCTGTTATGTGCTGGATTGTCTCAGGGGCATCTTCACACATTCTGCACCTGGGGTCTTGCCTAGTGTGTTAGACCCTAGCCTCTATGGATCGTGTACTTATGGCTTGTTACTGTGCTGCCATGATTAGCGTCTCTGTGCTGTCTTTCAGTCCAGTTTTGTCCACCCACTGACAGGATGTCAGACACTTCTTCTGACAGTGGCCAAGTAGTGGCCTGCCGTTCCATCATCCTTACTTCTTCTCCTTACTCCTCTTCCGTCTTCGGTTTCTGATGCTACTAATCACTGGCAGGGCGTAAGTGTAGATTGCCGGGATCTTGATCTTCATATGAAGCTTACTCCTCAGAACTTGCTTTACACTCTGCTGGTACTTGGTGGTTGCAGCTTTCCTAGCGGCCTCTTCGTGGTTCCCATTTCCCATTTGCCTATGAGATTCCCAGGTGCCTGTAGCTGCCCTCGATGTCTGCAATGCTGCCTTCTGGTAATGCAATCCCATCAGTTTGGAATACCTTCCCTCTCTTTGTTACCATCCGCCTATGCTACACTACAGACATCAGAATGTCATTCAGGTAGATCCAAGTTGTGTGGTAGGTAGATTAGGTGGTTGACAATTGCTCCATTCCATAGTCGGTATCACTGACAGTAACTGAGGCAAGTCAGACCTACTTTGGATGTTGTGCTGGAGTCTTTTGTGAGTCGTCACTGAGCTCTTAGAGCAATTTTGTTCAGTTCTTGTCCAGCCACTCCTGGGAAGGTTTACCAATGTTCCATTTTTCACCATTTGTCACAAGTGTGGCAGTAATCAGGCCTGGGTGTGGCTAGAGAAATTAAACTCAGCTTTACAAAGATGGCATAGGAGGAATTACTTTTACAGACAGGGCTAGATAGGTCTGTATTTTCACCTGAATAATAAACGCCTTCACTTAAAAAACCCATTTCTGTTTTTACATGTGTCAACTTTGTCAAATATTTAAATTTGTTTGATGATCTGACAAATTTAAGTTAACAAAAAATAAATAAATCAGTACGGGGTGAAACATTTTTTCACGCTATACACATATACACACATACCCACACCACATTTTAAAAGGAACAGCCTAGAAGATGCTGTGACACAGACCTTGCTGTGATCTGGTTTCTCCACTACAAACACATCGCTCCACGCCTGGATGCCCGTGGTCTCCCGTTCACAACCACCCCGCCAAGTGAAGCCGGTCAGAGGTTCCTCCACACCGCCGAGCCACGAATCAGATGACTGGAAGATCACAAGAGTATAGCTAACAAACTGCATTCCAAACTCACACGCAAACATGTGGAAAGCCTTGTGTTTATGGGGGGGGGGGGGTGTCCAGTCAATTGTTACAAGCTAGTCTGTCTGTCTGTGTATAACTGTTACAAGTGTTTGTTTTGTATTGCCAGCGATGAGTTGGACTTATTTTTGATGGGACCCCGCCAAGGCTGCTCTGTCCTCCGGCTCTCTTTATAATGTTTTATGAACAGAATTTCTAGGGGTAGCCAAGCGGCACAAAGCTTTCACCTTGGTGGCCTTATAATCTCTTCTGAGCAGGTGACCTCCAGCTCATACTGGAGAAGTTTGTAGCTGAGTGAAGTGGCAGGAATGAGTATTGGCACCTCCAAGTTACAGGTTATGGTCCTCAATAAGAAAAGGGCCACTTCGAGTGAGAGACAAGCTGATGCCCCAGGTGCAGGAGTTTAAGTATCTCGGGGTCTTCTTCACCAGCAAGGGGAAAGAGGAGCAGTCTGATGGATTGGGCTGCATCTGCAGTGATATGAACACTGCAGTATAAGCTTAACATAAAATCAGAAATACTGACTGTTCCAGTTGCTCCTAGTAAACCAAATTTCCCAATCTTCATCGTCAGTGTGGATTAGACTTCAAACAGTATGTTGACAGAAACTGCTTCAAAGAGCAGCACTCATCTGCTTGACATAGCACCCAGTGATGGTTATGAACATTAACTGTTAATGGACACAGAAACTGCTACCGCAGTTAATAGTAGCCACACTCAGATAAATCAAATATGTGTACAGCATTATTCACAGCGTTACAACTTTCAACATTTTGAAACAAGCCAATTCTGAAATTAATGATTAATTCAGGAAAACCAGATTCCATAAGCTCATTATCGTGGTGTATAGTTTGCATTTGTATTTTGCCAGAGTGGGGCCATTCAGTGGTTCTTTTGACTGCTCCAAGACGAGAGTTGAGGTCAGTGGATATATTTGGTGATGTTTGTCAGCAGGATTATGATGAAACTAACAATTTGAATTTCACAGAACTTGACAGGTTACCTGTTTGTACATGTAACGAAGCATAAAGTCGAGCAGGAAGGATTTGCCCTTGCGAAAAGCTCCAGCCACAGAGACGACGACCACATGGAGGTCCTGGACCTTCTTCTGCAGCAGCAGTTGCTCCAGCACCTGCTCCTGCAGGAAGAATGAATGCTCCTCCTCATTTGCCACTACAATCTGCACAGGCTGGGGCCTGCCCACTTTCTCCTCCTCTTCCTCCTCCAGCAGGTCATAGTCCTCCTCTTCACACCTCATCTGGGATGCGCATGATTTAAAACTGTGGCCACCTGAGAGGGGGAAAGTAAGCTTAAAATGTGTCTGAAGGCTCAGAATGCAGAAATGATTGGTCATGACTGTTCACTGGTACAAAGCAATAACTAGCCAATTAAAGGGATTTACAGCCTGTGTTCTTATTATGAATTATCATTTGTAGCAAAAAAATATCGTTTTCAGTTGTCTCAACATTCATGAACATTGCTGTTAAATATAACATGACTTTCTAGCAATTTAATTTTGGCAACTCTACATATAACAACCACTTGTGAAACAGTTGGTTGTGAGTGCTTAGATAAATTACACTCACTTCCAGATTCTTTAAAAATCAGTGTGGAGTTTGGAGGGGTGGGTGGCAGCTACATTGATCCTGTTATTATATGGGAGACCATTTCTATTATTTTTGACTTGGATAATTCAATTCAATTCAATTTCATTTATATAGCGTCAAATCACAACAAGAGTCGCCTCAAGGCGCTTTATATTGCACAGTAGATCCTACAGTAATAGATACAGAGAAAAACCCAACAATCATATGACCCCCTATGAGCAAGAACTTTGGCGACAGTGGGAAGGAAAAAACTTCCTTTTAACAGGAAGAAACCTCCGGCAGAACCAGGCTCAGGGAGGGGCGGCCATCTGCTGCGACCGGTTGGGGTGATAATGAAACTCATCTCTCAATGCAAAGTCGAGCCAAATGTATTTATAAAGCAAATAAATAAGAAATAGAAAGGAATATATAGATTAGGAATAGATTAAATAGATGTTAGTGGGTGCTAAACATATATAATAATGACTGAAAAAATACACAGGAGAGACAATAGGTTTTCAGACAGACTCAAATGCCACTACATCCTTACAGATTTATTTCACCAGTAGGCAAATAAAGAGTCCAGAGTGTGTACTGAGGGCACAAAGAACAGAGGTGAGCCAATTAATACCTCCTTTAACCTCCTAGGACCTGGCATCCACATATGTGGACATCACATTTTGAGTTATTTAGACTTCAATACTAAATTTTGCTCTACAAGGGTCTGATATCCACTTACGAGGACATTATACTGCTACTGTTCTATCAAGATTTTAGACGAATACCCTCATTTGTGGCTCTTATTTTTCTTAAAAACAAAAATAAGGTAAAAAAAAAAAAAAATCTGGTAATTCTTTGTTTTTACATTCATCAGGCCCCAATATGCCCAAATAAAAAAAATGCATGCTGTGGAAGAGTTCGGGTCTTAGGAGGTTAATTCAGTTTTTATTTAATAGAACCATAAGCATGAAGAGTAAGAGTAATAAAGATGCACATGTTATAACTTAATATAATAAGCTCATTATAGTCTACTTAATTTTCTATTATGCTGGAAGTCAGAAACTCCCCGATCTGTGTGTTACCAGTATTAGTGAAATGGCCTGCAAAACTAGTTAGAGTACAGTAACTGTACAGTTACATTAAGGTAGCCCTGTCATTACAGGGCTACCTTAATGGTTCACACCAACTTTACAAGCAATTGTCACAAGGTAACAGTACAAAGATTATGACGCAAATCACACAATCTTAATCAGTAATAGTAATAATAATAATGGATTGGATTTATATAGCGCTTTTCAAGGCACCCAAAGCGCTTTACAATGCCACTATTCATTCACTCTCACATTCACACACTGGTGGAGGCAAGCTACGGTTGTAGCCACAGCTGCAGTAACATCCTTTTTACAGCTAACTGTTGATCTGACACAGCTACACATTGTCATCGATAACAATGACTAGGAAAATTGCTCAACATCTAATTTTATTGATGTGTCATATTACAGAAACACTTATATGGTTTAAGAACTACAATATACTACAGAAATACATTGGAGAGTATCGCCTTGACTGCCTGCCAAGACTACACTCAGTACTAACAAAGAAAAATGTAGTGTGACCATTAAAACACAGCATAACAGGAGGGTGGAGAAGATGGAAGAAAGATGAAAGGGAGACTTTGAAAAGTGTGTGAGAATATCACAGTCGTCCTGCGACTGCAACGCACAAGTACTTAAAAGATCAGTGCCCTGGAGCTGTGACGTCAACTCTGAATAGGTACATTTGAGGAAGTTAAATTACTGTGAAATTTTTATTAAATGGGAGGTCTGGATTTTCCAATAATATGCGACTTTGATAATACAAAGTTGTCTGTAAACCTAGCTAAAATCCACAAACAAATACTTTATTAGTGGAAGATGATATTTACCCATAACTTTACATGGTTCTACTCAATGGAACAAGAGAACCATTATCAGAAATAGAAAAAACACTGGATATAGAAACAGTTTCATGATAATGGTATTTTTATTAATCACCATGACAATGGTAAATTTTTACAATTGGAAGCATTCCAAGACAAATTTTACATACAATATTCTTATTGTCATTACAAATTGTCAATGCAATTACAAATTGATCAAATACACGACTTCTCACGAGAAAGAAAGAAAGAAACAAAAAAAAAAACAAAAAAAACAAAAAAAAGGGGGGGGGGGGGGGGTCGGTGACAACAATATAATCTCTAATAAATATTATAAATATGAGAAATGGCCAATACCTCCAAAACACAGACACTTTTCCAATTTCAATTCAGTTTTATTCATATAGTTCCAAATCAAAGAAGCAGTTGCCTTATTGTAAGGTAAAGATCCCACAACCCTATAATAATACAACAGAGAAAACCCCAAAAAGCTTGCTCATCAACCCCTTATGAGCAAGTGCTTTGACAACAGTAGGAAGGGAAAAAAAACTCCCTTTTAACAGGAAGACACCTCCAGCAGAACCAGGCTCACAGGGGGCAGCCATCTGGCCCCCTGACCAGTTAGGGTAAGGGGAAGAAGACAGGGAAAGGACAAGCTATTGAAGAGAGCCAGAGATTTATAATAAATAATAACGAAATGCAGAGGTGTATAAACAAAGTGAAAGGGGCAACTGAAGAAGAAACACTCAGTTTCTTCTACAATTTTGACTGCATTTGCTCATGGGAACCTCCCAGCAGCCTGGACCTTGCAATGTAACTAAGGAAATATTTAGGATCACCTGATCCAGCCCTAACAATATGTTTATTAAAAAAAGGAAAAAAAAATATTTTGAGTCTAATCTTAAAAGTAGAAATAGTGTCTGTCTCCTGAATCCACAGAAGAGGGGCCTGAAAACTGAAGGCTCTGCCTCCCATTCTACTTTTAAATACTGAAGGAACCACAAGTAAGCAGTCTGAGAGCAAAGTGCTCTAATGGGGTGATATGGTGCTATAAGGCCATTAAGATGGGACCTGATTATTCAGGACCTTGTGTAAATTCAATTCTAGGTTCATTTTAAAATAATCTTAATAACTGTTATTCAGCTGCTGAGACTCTAAAAAATGTGGTTTAAAGTTTGTTTTTTTTTGTTTTTTTTACTGTTAATGCTATCCTTTCAGATTTTAACATAAGACTTAGGTGTTATAAAACTGAAGATTTAAACAGTTTTAGATACATTATACACTCTCAAAGCACTTTGTTTGAATAAAATGTTAGATTGAAAAACACAGCAGCAGAAGGTTTCACAGAAGTGTGATTACTTCTTCTAATTTCATAACATGATCCAGAGTCCACATAATCAACAGATTCACCCTGGAGGCAGGGCCAAGGCGGTTCTCTGGGTCCAAAGGTTAGGAGAAGCTTCATGCTTATTTTTTTATTTTTATTTTATAAATTACACCTGTCCTGTGCCAGATGTTCTGTTGACCCACTGAGAAAGACATTATTTTTGTGACATCAGGAGGACTGACGCTCATCGCAGGGATCAAACAGGACTCATAATCTTCACCAGCAGCTCCCTCAGAGGGAAGTCTTCAGACCTCCACTATCCGCTCGGCCAATAAGATGGACAAACCCAACATGTCATGAACAGTGTGTTCATCAAGAGTGAACACATAACATGATTTTTCTGTTGTTGTTTTCTGGGTGGTGCTGAGGGCGGCTCCTGTAATCAAAAGGAGAAAAGAATCATTACAAACTGTAAAATGTGAAGTGTATCTCTCAAATCTGAAATAAAGTGGTCAGAATTCAATGGTGGTCACCTGCAGGAAAACAAGAGACAAACACACATCATTAGCATTGTTTGAGCTGCTGCCCGAGTACTGGACAACATATTAACCTCCTAGGACCTGGCGTCCACATATATGGACATCACATTTTGGGTTATTTAGACCAAAATATTTAATTTTGCTCTACAAGGGCCTGATATCCACTTACGAGGACATTATACTGCTACTGTTCTATCAACATTTTAAAACGAATATCCTCATATGTGGCTCTCATTTTTCTTAGGAACAAAAATCTGGTTAAAAAAAATAAAATCTGGTAATTCTTTGTTTTTACATTCATGAGAACCCAATCAGCCCAAATATCAAAGAGAAATTAAAAATGCCTGCCGTGGAAGAGTTCGGGTCTTAGGAGGTTAATGCTTCACATCATTTCTCTCTAGCGATATAACATGTACAGAGTATTGAACATTTAACTTTGTGAACAACACCTAATTAAGAACCTAATTTTGCCCTTTTAAACAAGAACACTTGAAACAAACTCAGATGAGGAAAAAAAAAAAAAAAAAACTCACTCTCTCTCTCTCTCCCCCTTGCAAAGCTGTGGCCGGTCTTTATCCTTCAAGCTCAGGTCATCTACCAGAGGCTTATGAGCTTGGGGGTCCTGCAGAGTATCTTTGCCGTTGCTAGGACTGCTCTCTTCTGGACAGAGATATTAGATGTTGTTCCAGGGATCTGCTGGAGCCACTCACCTAATTCCTGACAATTGCTGCATTCCGTAGTCAGTATCCGTAATGATCTCACTGAGGGGGTTCAGGCCTATGCAGAACAGCAGTGGGTAGATCCCGCACTTGATGGTGACTTGCGCTATAGATTTGAAGTTGGCCTCTAGTGTTGTTTGCCACATCACCAGTGAGTTCCTGATGAAGGCTGTTAGGGTCCTGTTGATCTTGTACAATTCT